TATGAAATAATTGTGGCTACAGATTTGGGATGCCTCCGTATTTATTAAAATTCTTTTACTTAATATCTGGTTTAATATAAGAAAAGCTAAAAAAATGTGTTTTATAAACATTTTAGTCCTCCCCTTTACAAAATACTTGTATAAGAAAGTTTTATAAAGTGATAATGTGAATGATTGTACGCCTTATTGACTAGTACAGTAATATTCTAATGCTTATGCCACTTGTGTAACGCAATCTCATACATCTCCAATCTTATGTTACCTTTGAGGCTTTGAGTGTTATTGGATGATCATGAATATCAAGGAACAATGAAGATAATTTGGGTGGACTAGCATTATTACTGGAATGAAAATGATACAAATGATATATCTTGTAATTAAAATAAATAAGTAATCTAAAACGATATTAATAATGCCGTTGGCCTAGATCTAGGTGATATAAACCTTTGTATAAACCTAAGCCGTTTGATTAGATCTACATTTATTAACATTAATTGTATTTACTATTTAGCCATTTAGGTTGTAAATAATTCAATTTGAGTTAAGCAGTTTGTATTCGGATCAGTTTAAACAGGTTGCGATTCGAAAACAGTTCGATTTTAACGGTTTAACGGGTTATGGCAGTTCAGTTTAGACGATTAGCGGATTATAACGGTTCGGTTTATACGTGCGGTTTAAACGGTTTCGGTTCATAAACGGGTCGGTTTAAACGGTTAGCGGGTTACAAATGGTTCGGTTTAAACGGTTTTTTTTCGGTTTAAACGGTTTCGGTTTATAAACGGTTCGGGTCATTAACGGGTTTATAAACCATTCGGTTCGGTTTCGTTTCGGTTCGGATTTGCGCAGTTTGGTTTGTTATCTGTTTACGGTCCGTAACGGGTTGACATTGAGCGGTTCAATTCGGTTTCGGTTTGATATTGAACGGTTCAGTTCGGTTTTCGGTTTATATTTATCGGTTTATAAACGGATCGGTCCGTGATGGTTCGGTTCGGTTCGGTAACGGTTTCACGGTTCGGTTTGAAAAGTCCCACCCCTACGGATAACCATTGTGCATAGTTATTAAGAGAGAGAAATTATTAAAATAATTAAAAATTGGTGAGAGAGAAAATTTTGGAGCAAAATTCTAACAAGGCAACAGTACTATTTATTTTTAGTTTTAAAAAGCCTTAAAGTTAAATTAAACTATTTACCATACGTTCATTTTCATTTTCTTACCATATGTGTAATAAACTTACTATTCAGCACATTAAAAATATAAGTATCATTATTTATTGAACATTACAATAGACTTACAATGATGCCGTTCTTGATATATGATTTCGTGAACATCATTCCAAATCCCGGTTTAATTGCCTTACTCATGACAAAGTTTTCCACTCTCTCGTCTCTCTCTTGCACTTGAAGCTGCAGATGATGAACCTTCAAGGGAAGAATTCCTCCTCTCATCAGCCCACCAATCTCCCAATCTAAAATCTTTGGGGTCATAGTTATCCCTAGGGTGGAGGACTAATGTAAACCTTTTTATTTTGAACCGTATCTCTCCGTTGAAGCAGTAGTAACACCTAAGGATATCCCCATCTTATACCCTATTGTGGCGAACGAATACATCCCACCCTTTACTGATGATGTAAAATCCTTCTACATTAGTTGTAAAAATGTCCCAAATTTTTTTTTACCAATCTTTTCCCAATATAACCTATGACGAGGCGCGTCTTTTTTATAATCACCAAACCAAGAATCTAATAATTGTAATAATTATGCGAGACATATACAATTATGTGTAGTCAAAACGCCTTACCATATTCGAGAATATTGAAATTGATGCGATCACGGATGCGACAGGTGAAAGGGAATGACAGAATGAGGGAAATGAACATGAATGTTAGAAAATAATTTTTATAGCTGCAACGTTTTAGAAATGTATTGAACAATTTTATAAGAAATGTTGATAATAGAAATTTTGAAAGGAAAAATATTTGAAAAAAGTTTCAAACTTTTGAAAACAAAAATTTTGGGCTTATAGAAAATTTCAAAAGACAATATAATAATTTTGGGATACATAGTTTTTTTAAAGAATAGAGTGTTAGACTGAGAAAGAATGAGTTTTAAAAAAGAATATTTGCTGAATGGGAAAGCTCTAGTGCAGAGGATGTTAAGAGCAATCATTTAGGGGCCGTTTGGTTGAGAGTAATAATCAAAGGGAAAGGGAATGGACATACCCAATTCCCTTTGTTGTTGTTTGTTTATCACTTTCTATCATTCTCTTTACCCATTTTTATTTTTCAGTTTACCCAAATATATTCCACTCATTCCCCACCCCCAAAGACTTTTCCATTCCCATTTCCTACTTAATTACCCATCACTTTATCTCTCCTCTCAAACCCTAAAATCCCCAGTAGCCGTCACCCGTCACCGAACCTCCGGCCACCACGGAAACCACCCGAATTTGTACACCAGCGACGATATTCGAGCAGTTTCGACAACGTATGACCACCGGCGACCCTATTAATCATGTTCTTGTTCTTATTTTCACGTTTATCTACCTTAATCATGTCCTTTTTTGTTTTATTCTTGAACTGTTGTGGAATTTATAATTTATTCCTAAATTTTTGAGGAATTTGTCACGTTATCGACCACCGGCAACCCTAAATAATTGATGTTCATGTTTTCTTCACAGTTTCTTTTTTGAAGGGTTTTTTCATGATTGTTTTTTTTTTTGTTAGGAATGACGAAATAAGTTGATATTTTTTGATTTTTTTTCCTTGAATGAATACTAATTTAATGTTTATATATATATTAATGTTCATATGTATGTATATATCTGTTTAGCTTGAGATTTTTATATATCTTAAGTATAACTAATATGTAAACTAGTCAATAATATGGTGTTGTTGCTGTTCTTTGCTAAACAAAATGGCTCGAATTGGTACTTATTTGAATAGGAAGAGAAATTGGGACTTTATTCGGTTCATAATTACTATGATTAATTTTGCTACATTTGATGTGTTACTCAATAAAGAAACAGGTTTATCATATAATAACAAGTTATTTTGGAAAAAAAAAATAATTAAAAAACACAAAATTTGAATCCTTAGCATGAAGCAAACAGTCACAAAGGGAATCAATGAGTTGTTTATTCCGTTTCTTGGACACAACTAAACGAATACGCTAAATCAGGGGAATCAATTATTTTATCCTTCATTCCCTTTCTTCATTCCATTTCGATTCCCCTATGTGAACCAAATAGCCCCCAATGTATTTGGACGCTCAACCTTACATGCCAACTGTCCACTTCATTTTCCAAAAACATAAAAATGGTTGTCCACTTCTTATACAGAGAGATCTTGTCTCGACCATGACTCCACGAAGTGAAATTTTGTATTGTTCTGTCCACTTGTATATGATAAATCTGCTTATTGAGGACCCTCAAAATATCAAACGCAGGGGTTTAGTTCCGTCGACAACCCACTTTGTCCCTAAACATGAGAACCAACACACGACATATTGGGGTTGCTGGAAGAATAAAATATTTTTTTAAAAAATAAAATAAAAGTAGCGGAGAGAATTGAAGGAGAGATAATATGGAATTAATAAATATTGTTGGGTCTACATGATGAGTGAAATTAAGTGAATATTGTAAAATCTTTCCAAATAAGGAATCAGAACAAATATTTAAAAACGACTGGAAAAGGATCGAAAGCAGGGGTGGGACTTTTCAAACCGAACCGTGAAACCGCCCGTTACCGAACCGAACCATCACGGACCGATCCGTTTATAAACCGATAAATGTAAACCGAAAACCGAACTGAACCGTTCAATATCAAACCGAAACCGAATTGAACCGCTCAATGTCAACCCGTTACGGACCGTAAACCGATAACAAACCAAACTGCGCAAATCCGAACCGAAACGAAACCGAACCGAATGGTTTATAAACCCGTTAATGACCCGAACCGTTTATAAACCGAAACCGTTTAAACCGAAAAAAAAAACCGTTTAAACCGAACCATTTGTAACCCGCTAACCGTTTAAACCGACCCGTTTATGAACCGAAACCGTTTAAACCGCACGTATAAACCGAACCGTTATAATCCGCTAACCGTCTAAACAGAACTGCCATAACCCGTTAAACCGTTAAAATCGAACTGTTTTCGAATCGCAACCTGTTTAAACTTATCCAATTACAAACTGCTTAATTCAAATTGAATTATTTACAACCTAAATGGCTAAATAGTAAATACAATTAAATAATTAATGTTAATAAATGTAGATCTAATCAAACGGCTTAGGTTTATACAAAGGTTTATATCACCTAGATCTAGGCCAACGACATTATTAATATCGTTTTAGATTACTTATTTATTTTAATTACAAGATATATCATTTATATCTTTTCATTCCAGTAATAAAGTCCACCCAAATTATCTTCATTGTTCCTTGATATTCATGATCATCCAATAAGATAACATAAGATTGGAGATAAATAACATTAAAATTAGAGTAATATCAACAAGCAATTAAAAAAATTCACCATTTTCATTGATTAAAATTCACAATACATATACCAATACATAATGAAACTACTATCACTACTACCCAGATTAGATTTCAGATTTACCAACTGAAACATCATCAAGTTTAGGGTTGCAAAAAATGATACATGATAAGATGAAGGGAGGAGTGAGAATGTGAGTGATTTGGGAGCAGAATCTTGAAGCAGAATCTTGAAGCAGCAGCCCAGCACCCAAGAGCAGAGGAAATAGCAGCAACAAGCAGGAACCAGCACACGCAATAACAGATCAGCAACTTATCCGAAGCAAGGAATAATATAAGCAGAAGGGACTCAGCAGGAACTTATTTTTGTTTTTCAAAATTGCTCTCAGATTTACGTTTCTCGTATCATCACTGAGCAATGGCTGTTTTAACTTAAAACTTGAAAAATGCTGCCAGCAAGTACATATACATTGAAGTCTCAACATAAATGACAAGGGCAGCGATGATTCAAGAAAAATTAAAACAGCAAGCATAAGAAACAGCAGCAACAAAACTTATCATAAATTCATAACACAAAAGGCAGCAACACAGCACCTCAAGCTGGCAGGAGGCAGGAACCAGCTCATGCAGGCAACAATATAGGCAATAACAACTCAGCAGAGACAACAACCAAAAGGCAAAAGCACTACCAGCAGGCAGCAGCTCATAACAAGTTCAAGCAACTTCAAAATTATAGCTTTTGTTTTTTTAAAATTTCTCTCAGATTTACAAGTTGAAGTACCCGCTTTACCAGGTGCTTTATATTCTTTGCCACACAAATTACAACGAGCATAATCAACATTTTCATTACCTATCGTCTTTACAAAAAAAGTGTAATGCTTCCATATACCTGCGGTTCTTTGACGTTTATTAACAGAAGGATTGATAGTGCCGGTATTACTAGCATCATCAACCGAGACAGAGGCAGCTTGAGAGCTAACAGTATCAAAATTTGATTGCCTCTCATAGTCAAATTCATCATACTCGCGAGACATGACTGAAACAAAAAAAAAACAACATTTATAACTTATAAGTACCAAATTAAGTGACAGATTCTACTAATAGTGAGCAATTAAGCATGCATTGTCTCATGTGACTGACACTGAAGTCACGACAGTGAATCCTATTCACTCAATACCAAAATTCAACTAAATAGATAGTTCATATTTCAGAATTTTATTTGCACTAGTCAATGTTTCAAAATTCAGAATTATACAACAAACGTGATTACAACATATATCCTAACAGAATATAGAAAGTTATATACGATACAGTCACATATGTGTACATTTTAAGTACTAACTTTAAGCCAATCATATACAATGCTTGTATTCCAACAATATGGGTTAAAAATATAAAGCTAAAATCCCAATAAATAAACAATGCATGTATTCCAACAATAATAATCACATAATCTGAACAACCCATCATCATTACTTTTAAATCGAGCATAATAAACAACAAAACAGCACAAATCTACCATTTTCCCGTAAAAAACAAAAATACAATCAACAACAGATTTTACTCATTTTAGGCATATTTCGACTATATTCAAGCAAGAACAACAACAATAATCAAATACAAAAACAGAAAAACTGTATTAAAAAAAAAAAAAAAAGGAAAAAGTAATTACCTTTGACAGCTTGAAGGAGATTTGAAGATGGAGAACTACCTGAACTGGAGATCAAAAGAAAAAATCAAGAATGTAGATTATCAGAACTTGAAATAAATTAAAAAAACCGAAACGAAAACGAAAAAAATCGAATAAATTAACAAAAAAATTACCTTAGGGTTTGACGGCTTGAAGGAGAGGAAGATTTGAAATCAGAAATCAGAAATCAGAACTTAGATCCAAAACAAAAATGAAACGAAAACAAAAACCCTAAATAAACAAACCGAAACAAAAACGAAAAAAATCAAAACGAAAACAACAAAAATTAACAAAAAAACGAGAATGTAAAGCGAGAAATCAGAAATGTAGATCCAAAACACAAATGAAACGAAAACAAAAACCCTAAATAAACAAACCGGAACAAAAACGAAAAAAATCAAAACGAAAACAACAAAAATTAACAAAAAAACGAGAATGTAAAGCTAGAAATCAGAAATGTAGATCCAAAACACAAATGAAACGAAATTGAGCTTGAGATTCTTGATAATTTCAGAACGAAAGAGTGAGAAACTGAGAAGTTAGAGAGAGAAACTATGACAGATTGTGAGATTGAGAGAGAAACGACTGAATGAGTGAATGAGAATGGCTGAGAGAGTGAGAGTGGGTTTTTTTTTCTAGGTTTAGGTTTTACTTCAGTTGATCTAACCGTCCATATTCAATCTCAACATCTAAGTTAGATCTAACCGTTCATTTTTTTTTTTTTTTGTAGATTCTAGAATATTCATCTAGATCTAACGGTCTAGATTTTCTTTGTGCTTTTCTAGGTCTTTTTGACCGTTTTTTTAATTATTTATTATTATTATTATTGTTAGTATAATTATTTGTTAATATTATTATTACTACTAGTTTACTACTACTATTATTATAATATTATTATAATAATAATTATTATTATTACTATTATTATTATTATTATTATTATTATTATTATTATTAGTTTATTACTTATAAGTTATAAATTGTAAGAAACGCAAATGTTTCAAAATTGAAATTGATTCAATACGACATAGTTAATGACTTAATGAGTTAATGGCTTAATGCTCATCAATATGACAATATCTGACATCTGTGAGTCTGTGATTGTATATCAGTATATATAATAAACTATAAAACTAATAATAACTTAATAAGTAATAATACTAATAACTAATAAAGTAATGAAAATCTAACCATTGTTTTTCATGGGCATTCAATCTAACCGTTGTATATTTGACTATTCGTACATTAGTATTGCATAATGCTTTCATCACCACTTTAATTAGTGATTTCGTGATTTCGTCCATTTAACTTATTAAGTTGTTTGAGTTAGTAATCTAAATAAAGTAACAAACTAAATAACGAATCCATTTAATCTCGTGTAAGTTATAATTTATAAGAAATGCAATGTTTGGAAATGGAAATTGATTCAATACGATATTGTTAATGTATATGTAATTATATTATTATGTATATGATGTATATCATATCGTACGAATGTACGGTTGGTATCATTATCATACTATCATAAGTATCATTGTCTCATTGAATTATTGGTATGTACTATAATCGATAAACATATTTAGTTATTTACATATCTGATCATTAAAACTTAAAAGTTTAAAACACTTGTTGATCAATCTAATTGAATACTTGTACATTCTTAATTATCGATTTATCGTATTATAAGTATCAACTCATTAAATCATGGTCATGATTTCGTGATTTCGTCCATTTAACTTTTTAAGTTGTTTGAGTTAGTAATCTAAATAAAGTAACAAACTAAATAACGAATCCATTTAATCTCGTGTAAGTTATAATTTATAAGAAATGCAATGTTTGGAAATGGAAATTGATTCAATACGATATTGTTAATGTATATGTAATTATAGATTAATTATTATGTATATCATATCGTACGAATGTATGGTTGGTATCATTATCATACTATCATAAGTATCATTGCCTCATTGAATTATTGGTATGTACTACAAATCTACAATCGATAAACATATTTACATATCTGATTATTAAAACTTAAAAGTTTAAAACACTTGTTGATCAATCTAATTGAATATTTGTACATTCTAATTATCGATTTATCGTATTATAAGTATCAACTCATTAAATCATGGTCATGACGCGATCTTTAAAACAATCATGAATTCAATTCATGACCCAAACCGCTTATAAACCGAACCGACATGATCCAAACCGTTCATAAACCGAACCAATTGAACTGTGTAAACCCTCTACTAAACCGGCCCATTTAAAACTGAGCCGACATGATTCGCACCGTTTATAAACCGAACCGATATTGATCCGGGTAAATCCGCCCCTAAACCGACCCATTTCAAACCAAACCGGCTTGATCCAAACCGTTTGTAAACCGAACTGACATTGACCCGGGTAAACCCGCCCCTTAAACCGACCCGTATCAAACCGAACCGACATAATCCGAATCGTTTATAAACCGACCCGCTTATGACCCAAACCGAATTTAAACCGCAAAGAAATAAACCGAAACCAAACCGAGCCGTGACTAACCCAAACCGAACCAAACCGACCCGCCAGCTAAACTAAACCGTTTCAATCCGAACCGCTCCAAACCGAAACCGACTCAAACCGAGGTCAAACCGAACTGCCAGACCGAAGTCCCACCCCTAATCGAAAGTGAAAAAAATATTTAAATACAGGGGGAGTACTCTCTCTAAAAACATCCCTTCCATGGTATAGAAAGAGTATACCATTCCTCATTCTCTCGTAATTTTTACTATACCCCCACTACACTTTCTCTCCCCTATATATATTTCATCCTACTCGGCAACTCCTATACAATTATTAAATAACTTATTTAGTTAATCTAATTACAGTGAAGATATTCACAAAATTATTAAAGAAAAGTTCAAACTACTTTTAATTATCAAATATGTTAAAGTATATCAATATGGGTGTCTTTTTAAAGAGGGAGAAAAGTTATGAACGTTAGTAAATTTTATTCATTTTTTTATATTGTCTAATTTTATGAAAAATGCCTTGAAATTTTAACGTCACAAATTAACAACAAATATCCTCGTTACACTGGCGCTATGTTACTAGTTCATTTATTAAAGTGGATTGCTAAACATCGCCCGCAAATCTCCACATAAAGTCCACAAATCTATATTGAATTTACCTTATTGCCCTAAACCTAAAATAAAAAAATCTAACCCATACCCACACTCTAATCACCCGAAAATACGGCAATGTTGAGGCGGCAAGGCAAGGACTTGGCGGCCACAGCGGCGGAGGGAAGGACGGCTCACGGTGGCAGGGTTTTTTTTTAAAATTTTTTTTTTAAAAAAAACCAGAAGAGGTGGGGCGCCTGGCCAGGACGCCCAGCCCCTGGTGGTGGCGTCTGCTCCGGCCGCCGGAACCAGGGGGCTGGCGTCTAACCTGGACGCCTAGCCACGGTTGTGGCGTTTTCCAGAGGCGCCACCGCCGTGGCTGGGCGTCCAGGTCAGACGCCAGCCCCCTGGTCCCGGCGGCCGGAGCAGACGCCAACACCAGGGGCTGGGCGTCCTGGCCAGGCGCCCTACCACTTTTTTTTTTTTGTCTAATATTTTTTTTTGGAAAATCAGAATTCTTTTGTTAATGTTTAATATTTTTGTTTTATGTGTTAATGTTTTTATTTCTAATGTATATATTTTTTTTTAAATCAGAATTTTTTGTGTTAATGTTTAATTTTTTGTGTTAATGTTTAATTAAAAAAAAAACAAAAACTCTAAATAAAATTTAAAAAAAATTACAAAAAGTTTAAATAAAATTACAAAAAAAAAAGAAAAAAAAATAACAAATTACAAAAAAAAAAAAAAAAATTGCAAAAAGTAGGGGTGGCGTCTGGCCAGGACGCCACAGCCATGGTGGCGACGTCCTGACCAGACGCCACCCCTACTTTTCGTATTTTTTCCCCCGGATTATCTCGCTTTCCGGTGACGATGACGACTCTTCGGTTTCGGTAAAAATTAGAAAAAGGGCAAAAGAGTCAAAGTAAAAATATTTGTGGGCTTTATGTGGAGATTTGCGGGCGACGTTTAACAAATCCCTTATTAAAACCCTCAACTTCCGTCCATACTCAGTTACTTAAGTGAGTTTCAACTTTTGGCACTTGCAATAGCAAAACACATAATTTTGGTGATTAACCACATCAAAACACATCAGTTTATATCTGATGTAGGAAAAAAATATACTACGTATAAATTTCAGGAGCCAACATGGTCTTACTTCATACGGACCAATAAAAAAATTGCACCAAGTGATGGTATATTGATATATACCAATCCATGGTATTTTAAGGAGGGTGTTCACGTCGTAAGGGATACTTGTCCTTAGATGCCCATGACCCTTTAAAAGCCTAGGACTTTACACTTGCTAGGGTGTATTAGGATTTGAATTCCTTATTGTTTGGGAGACCTTGAATTAGAAATGATACTCTCATCACAATTTTTTGTAAGAAACAAGTAGGAGTCACCAATGAGTTTTAGGAAAACACAAAAACCTCATTCATGCCTTTCTCCCACGTAGAGTTCAAGGGATAATTAGCACGAATCGTAAGTTTACCCATGCCCAAATTGGTCTACATAAACCAGAAATGAGTTCGAGAGCGAGGGTACTAAGATAACGTTCTCTTTAGAGGGGAATCACTATCTTAGCCCTAGTACAGTCTCTACTAGCTCTTCATGTTTCACAATTTCATTACCAAACAATATATGCAACGTGATACCTACAGACTAAGTTAGTTGATTTTATTTACAAGCATTAATCACGTAGAAATTACAAAATTCGTTATTCTTTGTTTAATCAATATTCGTGACCAGAACAAAATAAACAATATTAGCCTTGTCTTAAGTGATAAAACAACAATTAATTATCAAATTCTATTCTTGATTAACAAAAGAATACTATGTGAATTAATTAATTAAAAGTTTGTTTAAAGTGATTAAACAACACTATTTGTTCAATAAAAGTTATTTAAACAGTGA